ATCCCGCCACCCCGAGTCTTCTCCAAAATTGTGTCTGTTCCCAGTACCGCGACCGGCGACCAATTCGCGCCACGTCGGCCATGGCAGCCCAAAGTGTGTAAAAGCGCCTCTCTCAACACCAAGAGGTGGAAGAAAGGGGACAGAGAGCGAGAGCGACAGTCAACTATTGACAGCCGCGCAAGGCGTATCGGGAACCCCATCAATGGTGGCTTGCTCGGGCAATTTCAGAAGCAATATTAGATCGTAGAGCGCAGGGCTTGCTTGCTTGGTTCATGCTCAGGGGTCTATGTTTTGACTTGCAGCATCATCCCTCCCCCCGATTCATCTTCACCGAACATGCAAAAGAAAAAAAAACAAGGTCCACTCGCAAAGTAACACTTCAGGTGTGTAGAACTTCATCCGGAAAGATTCCCCATGCAGTTGAAACGTCCATCCCACTTCAGCTCTCGTCACGGCCTCTTTGTTTTGTCCCTTCTTCTTCTTGTCATCTATCTTTGGCGCCATCGGGGACCGCTTCGCGGGCACCACCCCCTCCCATCCTTTTACACACCCAAAAAGAGGGTCCTTATACTTGTTCAATGTCTCCCCCCTGCTACTCAGAAAGACCCGGCCTCATCGTGCCAGGGCTCGTCTGCCCTGGTACCACACCCCCCGAGTCTAGCATGTACTCGCACCCCCCTCCTCCTGGGCCTCGCAATGAGTGGCTGATTTGCAATAGCTCTGGCTCGCTGGGAGCGCAAGTCTTGAGCAAGGCAAACGCGGGACCCTTGTCTGTTCTTCGATCCTAGACACGCCCCCTCTTCTTCTCCTCCTCCCCCCCAGTCTTGCCTGATTAGCGTAGTTGTGAAGAAGCATGGCGAAGCCAGAAAAAAAAAAGAACATTGATTTTATACTTACGATTATTATTACTATTACATTATTTGAGCGTGAGATTAGATAGCGCGCGGTGCCTGTTTTTATACATGCAGATGGTCTTAGACTACATCTACTGTATCATCCTCATCCTCTCCAAAACAGCTCCGCATCACAGCACTCACGCCGTACTGTACTACAGCAAATCCCACTGCCCATGCGGGCCACCGCGCATTAACACACAAGTTTCCCCTTGGACGCTGGCCTTTGTCTGCTGGTCTTGCCCGCCACTGCAGCCACAATCACCGCCACCCGTCACGCGCGCGCTCAAGGCTTGGTCGGGATACCAGCATCTCACTCGCTTTCTGTCGACTACACCCCGACCGCGGTATTCTGTATAGAGTCAAAGAGGAAACCGAAATTGCTTCGGGGACCATTTGATCTGTGCGCGCATCTTGCCGCTCCGTCACTCGTTCAATACCGCTCACAGTCGCTTCGGCATTCTTGTATCCATACGACAAACACAAACACGACACGAATTTCTTCTCACTCACATATTCGAGGCTTCTGTACGTATAAATTCATCCAGTTCCGTCTCCGACTTGGCTTTCCTTCACCAACCTTAATCTGTTCAGTACCGTCCAACTCAAGCAACCCTCAACATAATGTCTTCACTCGCGGAAACGCAAGCACTGCCGACAACGGCCGAAAAGCCGCCTGTCGCTGCCATCCCGGAACATGGAAAGATTCTCGATATTGGTGGCAGTGGCTTGAAGTGTCTTAACTTCGAAAAGCTCAAGGACACGCTAACTGCCATCGCTGAATCGAGAGACGCGCCAACGCTGCCTGACGAGCTGCTATATGACGACGTGGGCCTGCTCATCTGGAACAAAATCATGTCCATTCCACAATTCTACCAGACCCATGATGAAACAGCCCTCTTCGACCTCAACAGCTTCGAGATTATTCGCCAAGTCCCTGCTCATGTCACAATGATTGACGTGGGTTCAGGGTGAGTAAACTAATCACACGCATTAATTGTATGTCTCGTCATCTATTACCAGATTTGCTGACCATGTGTTTTGTTTGGTTGATCTAGTGATACGAACAAGGTCAGCCATTTTCTCGCCGAGTTCGAACGCAAGAAAGTCCATGCCACGTACCTTGCTCTCGACATTTCCAAGACCTCGCTGGACGAGAGCATAGCGAGCTTGACTGCTAACCACTCTAGCCCCGATTCAGTCGTCAATTGCGGCGGCCTTTGGGGTACATTCGAGAACGGACTGGAGCACATGGGCAGGATTAAAGGCCCTCGTCTATTTCTGTCCCTCGGTTCCGTTCTGTGCAACGATCCTTGGCCGACCGCGCTAGGCCACCTTAGAAGATGGGCCGCAGAGCTTCGGCCGGAGGATCGTTTGCTGATTGGCATGGATGGTCACCTTGTTGCTGGCAGCCGGGACAAGATCTGGACTGCCTACCATTCCTGCGATGATATATTCCGCGAATTCTTTCTGAATGGACTGAATAACGCAAACAAGCTTCTTGGATATGAGCTTTTTAAAGAGGAGGATTGGGATTTCGAGTCTGAGTTGGAAGAAAAGCCAACAACGCGCCATCGATTCTTCCTGCGTGCCAAACAAGACGTCCCAGTACCGGAAGGCGGCAACGTGATTTCCAAGGGGCAAGAAATCGACTGGTTTGACTCTCATAAGTACGGAGAGCAGGACGTCCGGCTCATGTGTAGCAAAGCTGGGCTGACTGTCCGTCGGTCTTGGGCAGCACCAGGCTCTGAATTCCGTACGTTATCCTGTGGTCGCCTGTGAACATGCAACAGATTGCAGAGGCTAATGAGTTGAGAGGCCAATATCTTGTGCGCACCAGGGGCGAGCGCGATAATATCGAGGATGGGGACAGCGGCATTGCCGGCATTGTCTAAGCGCATAGAGGACGATCACAGGGTTGGACATCTATCGAATGCAAATCGAATCGATAGATTCATTCGATGCCAAA